ATCGATTCCCGGACGTGCAACTCGTTCACAACTGCCCGACCTTGATCTAACAGAAAATCAATGTCCATCAGCCTGCGGCACTGGCTTCTTCCAGTTAGTCGCCGAACGGAAACGCCAACATAACATGCGAACGAGCAAGCCGTCGTTTGCTGCGAGCCGGCTGCTGCCTTAGTCTAAAACGAAATCATACTACGAACATTGAATCGACAGCCTTAGTTTAGTTCGTGGTTTATAACGCTCGTTGCGTAATGCCGCGCCGCCTTGAAAGAAAGTAACGAGTCTCCAAACCGTGAACCTTTTTGGACACGAAGCCTCTGTCGTAATATTTAAGCGCTCATTTAGGAGCGACTGTGCGACTGTGATGTTCCCGACTGATCCAAAGTATTTCTGCCGGAATGTGGCCGCCTGTGTTACGCGCCTGGAGCGTACGGGCCTGCTGGGGGTCGCGCCTCAGCGCGCCGCCGTCTGTGACCCAGCACCGTGCCTGACCTGACCTGACCCGCCGCCGCAGATGATGGCCAGCACGACGTTCCTGCAGCAGCTGCAGACCTACCCCAAGGACACCATCAACGACGAGATGATCGAGCTGCTCGAGCCCTACTTCTCCATGGAGGACTACAACATGGACACGGCTACGCGCGTGTGCGGTGACGTGGCCGGTCTGCTCTCGTGGACCCGCGCCATGTCCTTCTTCTTCGGCGTCAACAAGGAGGTGCTGCCGCTCAAGGTAAGCTCCACGAGGCTGGAGAGGCGCGATGTGTGCAGTGATCGCACACAAATGGCCGTGGGTTGTCGCACTGGGCCGCGCTAATTCATCTGTGGCCAGCTGTAGGAATTGACCGTAGTTCTGTGTGGTGAGCGACGGAAGGCACGATAGGGGAAATCGGACGATGAATTGTGAACGCGTCTGCACGTTTGAGAAGCAGCCCAGTCCGTGTCGAAACACTGATGTGCGGAGTAGCGCTAAGCGTCGTCGCTGCGCCGTCTGGATCCGACCGATCCGGTCCGACCTGAGCGTGACGCGCGCCGGCGGCGGCAGGCGAACCTGGCGCTGCAGGGCGCCCGGCTGTCGGCGGCCCAGGCCGAGCTGAGCAGGGCCGAGGCCGAGTTGACCGAGAAGGAGGCCGAGCTGGCCACCGTCAAGGCCCAGTACGACCGGGCCGTGGCCGAGACGACGCGGCTGACGCAGGCGGCCGACGCATGTCGCCGCAAGATGCACGCCGCCAGCCAGCTCATCAACGGCCTTGGCGGCGAGAAGGTGCGCTGGACGCAGCAGAGCAAGGCCTTCAAGGAGCAGATGGGACGGTGAGCTGCCGACAGCGACGGCTACTGACGGAACTGACGCGGAGTTGGGGGCGGGCTGAGGGGGAGCAGCTTCGTGACGCTCCTGATGATGAGGCTCAGGGTCAGGCTGGAGACAACCATCTAACGTGTACACAATATGAGAACACCACGCGGAAGTTGTGTGACATGCAGCCTAATCCAGAGGAACCTTAGCTTAGCGGTAGTGACGAGGCCTTCGTAATGTAACACGACGCTACTTAGGGATACTGGTGGTGTGGTGGTTAAGCTGCGCGTCTGGGAAGCTGGAGGTACGGGGTTCGATTCCACGCGGTGCCCGCCCTTCCTGCCAAGGTGAGCGGCAGGCGACGTCATACAGCGTCAGTAGCTGAGTGCGTCGTAAGCTCCAATGACTTGACGTTGTTGTAGTGCGACGGCGGCGGCTGTGACGAGCAGTGCTGCACGCGCTTTGCCGCCAGCCTGGTGGGAGACGCCCTGCTGGCGGTGGCCTTTCTCTCGTACTCGGGCCCGTTCAACCAGGAGTTCCGCTGCGCCCTGCAAACCAGCTGGAAGAAGGTGCTGCAGTCGCGGGGTATACCGATGACGGCCACCCTCAACATCGTCAGCATGCTCTGCGACAACGCCACCGTGGCCGAGTGGAGTCTGCAGGTAGGGGGCGCGAACCAGCGCACTCCATGTGAACCAGCGCAGCTGCACTCTGCGTACTGGCTATGTGAAGCATTCAGGTGTCACATGTGGAGTGGATCGATCTGTTGAGTCTCCTTTGTGACCGCAGTATCCTGATTTCATTGTTATGCCGCGCTATTGCTGACCTATTTAACCCGTCCGCCATCGGCAGGGTTTGCCCAGTGACGAGCTGTCGATCCAGAACGGCATCGTGGCGACGCAGGCCAGCTGCTACCCGCTCATGATCGACCCACAGGCCAGGGAAAGGCCTGGATCAAGAACCGAGAGGCCTCCAACGAGCTTCAGGTGCGGCTTACGGTCGCTTGACTTTTTGCCGACGCGTGTTATCACCACGGCGGGACGGAGGCCGGGGCCGGCGAAAGACCTCCGTGTGTGCCTGAGACGCGGACTTGTGTGCACGCTCTCATGACTCCCAACTGCTGGGGTGCGTTCAGGCGGGACCGGAGAGCGGCGGTGACGGTCTGATGGTGTCTAGGTACGGCCCTCCACCAGGCCGGTTTGAGGGCGACGGCCGGGCCTGCCGCCATGTCACGGGGTCAGTGCTGTGTGAATTACCGCCCACGGCAGCTGGTTCACAGCTATGCTGTGCATTCAGATCAGCGTTTGGTTTGGTGATCCGCCTTCAGGACATGGTCTCGTCCTGGGTCTCCGGTCTCCGTGGTAGTTTTTACACGGCCACGGAAGTCCAGATATAACCGCTGTATGTATGCACACTGTAGTGAGGATACGGGTAGCATGCGAATGTCTGTAATTAGGGCTGTCCCACGAGGACGTGGAACAAGTTAAAGCTTTTGCCGAGTGTATTTGAATGTTTGCATTGGTAGCTTGCAACGGTATTTTACCAGGAAAGCCACGGCGGTGGGACCCCAAACTTTAAATGCGTCGCCGTTTTACCCTGAGCACTGTCACCTTTTCCGGCCTTGCTCGTTGTTTTCTCAACTGTCTCCTCTCCTTGAAGAAACTCAGCCAGGCCCAGTCTGTGCATTTTCCCGCTGCGCGCGCATTCCTGCCTGGCATTTTGCGCCGCCACCCTGACCGTGCGTGTCTCTTTGACGCCCTGACCCCGCGCGTCTGATCCTCCGGCGTCCTGACCCCACGCGTCTGGACCGTCGCCAGATCAGCTCACTCAACCACAAGTACTTCCGGGCTCACCTGGAGGACAGTCTGTCTCTGGGCAGGCCGCTGCTGATTGAAGACGTGGGCGAGGAGCTGGACCCGGTGCTTGATAACCTGCTGGAGAAGAACTTCATCAAGTCTGGCTCTACGCTTAAGGTTGCTACACGCAGCCTGCCAGCTGCTGAGGTCTACTTTGTCTGCCTATGTTTTCTGTATCTGTCTCATGTCTTATATCTCATGTCTCACGTCTCATCAAATCGACGCGTCTGCTTTGCGCTTAGCCGTAGACCAGCGTGTGACAAGATATTGGGTTCGTTTTCACGTACAGTGCTAGGTTTACATACCCAGTCTCGACACAGCGCGATTTTACGAAATGTGCCTTAGTGATATCATGCGCTTCTGGTTACCACTGGTGCCTTGCTGCGCCGTCTCGTGTTTTCGCCTACCTGTTGGTATCAGGTGCCGATCAACTGGCGTCTCCTTACGACGCCTGGCCGCTCGCCAGGTGCTGGTGGGTGACAAGGAGTGCGACGTTATGCCCGGCTTCACACTCTACATCACCACCAAGATGGCCAATCCGGCGTACAGTCCAGAGGTGGCCGCGAAGACGGCCATCATCGACTTCACCGTCACCATGCTGGGGTTGGAGGACCAGTTGCTCGGTACGTCCTGCCGCTCCTGGATCCTCGCGAACAGACCTGGTGCGATGTGACACGTGGCCAACAACGTGGCCATGTATCAGTCTTCATCCCCTGTGGGACTGCGCGTGCAAAGGGATGGAAAACAACGAAAAAAGCCTCGGGTGCAGGGGTGCCACTTTATATACTTTGCGAAGTGAACCTGGGCCCCAATGCTGACTTGGGCCCCCCAGTGGTCTTCGAACCCCCATGCCCCACGCATATAACAAAAAGGGAATATTGGGCCAACAAAATGCAGCAAATGTCTGAGCTCCTGATACAAGAGCTACCTAAACGCATACCTAACCATAACATCATTATATATTCATTGTTATTGCCATCAAATTGGCTTGAAATGGGTGGTTAGCCCGCGACCGTAAAATCTTATTGGAAACGACCATTCTCTATTTTCAATATGACATCGGAGACGCAACTCAAAGCGGCCAAACCCGGGAAAAGTCAGGTTTTGGAGGTAGGTAAGTCAACTCGATTGAATCACCCCCATCCGATTTTCGAGAACTGCGCTCCCTCCCCGAGTGGGTTTCCATTGTCCGGGACGCTGTTTTTGACAGGCATGGTATGCCATCATTGAGACAATGACAATGCATTACGATTTCCAGTTCCCCCAGGATCCGGAGAACTATGTTTATGAAATTTGAAGAAATTTCATTGCATTGGAGCCAGCGTTATTTCACCCGGTTTCCGTATAGTAGAGGCTCTGCACAGATGGCTTTAAACTGCGCCTGTTAGCTAACGCTTATAACAGGTTTATGGGAAATGTTCGTGACCGAAAACATACCGGAAAATATTGCAAAGGTCTTCAAGTGCTCACCGATTAGAAACAATGAATGATTGCGAGTGCCGATTAAAGCTAGCGTAACAAACTTCGTTGGATCAATGCAGCTGACCTGAAGGCCTGCCAGGATAGAGTTTGATGCCAGCACTTCGTCGGAAACGTTCTATCTGTGTCATTACTGGCATTTTGCGGACCACCTAATTTCATTTGGTTATTTTTAAAGTTCCACGTCACGAGGGTATTCTCGGATGCAAACCGCGCGAGCGTCTTGCGGCTTGGTCACCTAGTGGTGAAGAAGTGTGGCGTGATTTTGCCTCTGGCCTGTGGCTTCTCAGGGCGTGTGATCCGCACTGAGAAGGTGGAGCTTGAGTCGGACCGCGTGGCTCTCATCGAGGCCGTGATGGAAAACAAGCGCAAGACCAAGGCGCTGGAGGACGACCTGCTGTACCGCCTGACTTCGACTCAGGTCAGCCCAGACAGCAGATCTGACGTGATTACTGGCATATGTCGCACAGCCTGGACTTGAGCATGCCTCCTGAAAGTCGGGGATTTGCCGCACCAATTAGCGTATCGCTCAGATCCCTTATTTCGTGGTATCAAAGTGAGAACAGCTGTAGTACGCAGTTGAGTACAGTTGAGCGCAGTCGAAGTAGTACCGGCTTTGAACGTCGTACGCGCCTGTGTCTTGCGCTCCTCACGCGGCGCAAGACGCAATCCAGCTTCTCCGGGATGACCCAGCCACCCGGCGAGTGGGGTGACACCCGCGAAGCCATACAACCAGCTCTGGGGGTGTAGACAGTGGATCATCCTTTATACACCGTGCGATGTATCATGGCGCAGCGGCGGCGCCACGGATTTTAAGTTGGGGTGGAACGTCCCGGGGAGGCTGCGGCTGAATGAAGCCTCCTGGGCAGTGGCGCATCCAAGGTGGCGCCGGGATGCATGCTCTCTTATAAAGTTGTTACATCACCAGACTAATCTGAGTAAATGTTGACAAGTGAAGGAACACGGACTAGGGCCTCTCTGATTAGTGCAGGGGCTTGAAGACCCAGTTAAAGGCCTCTTCGTCCAAAAATGGAGGCTCCTTTTTCAGAAATAGGCTTTGGAATGCATGGAGGGACCGCCTAATTTGGAACAAGATGGTTCGGACTCACAAAGGGGCCTCCAAACCTTACAGATGGCCTCATAACTCCAGAAGGATATCCTGACCTGGAACAGAGACCTTCTGACGCATAAAATGTGCATCTTGTCCCAGAATAGGACGTAAAGCTAGCCACTTATTTAGCGGTTTATTTAGCGATTTATTTAGCAACGGGCTTTGATTTTATTGAAAAACGTCAACCAGTGAATAATTGTACGGGAGTACCGAATCTGACGTGTTTTTTTTTTGTAACATCACATGCTCTTCAAGGTCAAATGCGTGGCCAAAGACAGAAGCATCCACATCACTCCAAAGTTACTAGCCGATTTCAGATTTTTAACCATCATCATATTTACTAATGATGAACTGGCGTCCATCAACAAGTCCTGAAGTATTAAGGCCATTCTTCAAGGTCAGAGATCAGGACTGCTTGACAGACACTAGCCTACGCACTGAAGGCGATCCCGGTTCTAATTCATGCGCATTATTCTGATACAAAAAAATCGAAATCGTAAGGTAACTTTCTGGTGGCGTGGAGCTCCGCGTTCTCTGAGCTGAACTTGGCCTTGGAAGGTGGCCGTGAGATGTGAGGACTTTTTGAAAGACGCCTGTTCATGCGCTGGCGAATATTCTGATTCGGAAAAAGTCAAAATTGGCTGGAAACTTTTGTGTGATATGGAGCTCGCCTTTCCTTGACCTCGACTTGACTTGACGGACGGTCAATGATGTTGCAAAATAGACTGCAGATTTGGTGATCTCGTGTAATTATTGAAAGTAAAATGGGTTTCAGCGAAATCAGAACGCGTCTTTATATTAATAGCTAAATAAATCGCTAACTTCGCGGATATCAGGATAGGGGTCTCCTAATATAAATAAGATGCCTGCTTACCCAAACGGGGCCTCATTATTCAGACAATAAGCCACCTTAGTCATGAAAGGGGTCTCCCGAGTCATAAAATAGGCCTTTGATGCAGAGAGCGGTCTTCTGAGCCCGGTTTGCTATGTGTTAGGTCAGTTATGGGGGCTTCCTTTATCCGAATATTTCTAACTTATGCTTAACTTGTCTTGTTATGTTATGTTAAATATGTTAAACTTGTTATATTAAATAATATATATATGTGTGTGTGTGTGTGTGTGTGTGTGTGTGTGTGTGTGTGTGTGTGTGTGTGTGTGTGTGGTGTGTGTGTGTGTGTGTGTGTGTGTGTGTGTGTGTGTGTGTGTGTGTGTGTGTGTGTGTGTGTGTGTGTGTTGTGGTGTGTGTGTGTGTGTGTGTGTTGTGTGTGTGTGGTGTGTGTGTGTGTGTGGTGTGTGTGTGTGTGTGTGTGGTGTGTGTATACACTGCATACAGGCATGCTTGTCAAACAAAACTGGGTTTAATTAGTTATGGAGCTTTAAGGGCGCCTCAACCGCAATCATCATTTGCGCCAAAACAAACCTGAAGTTTGAGCAAAAGAGCCCTTCCAAATTTTGGGGAAGCGAAAACGTACTCTTGGCTCCCTGCCCCCAACCCCACCCCTGCGTCGCCGCTCCTGTCGTGGTGACCTGCATGCAAACCGTGTTTATTTATTTGTGTTGAGGCTGATATGGGAGAGCTGGGACTTTCTGGCCGCTTGGCTGTGCGCCCCGCTCCCTTCCGACGTTGGGGACAGGGTCATCCCTGAGCTGGTAAGCGCCGTCGGGTGTGCTTGTTCGTCAGACTGCGTCTCATGTAGGATAGTGGAGCTTTTCTCTTGGTCGCGCCGAGCGTTCCGGTGCCCGTGTTGCCCTGATGCATGGTGGTGTTGCAGCAGCATTACATCGATTTCCGTTATCACCATGGATACCAGACGAGATTGACCGCAGAACACTGCCTCGAACGGCGTGTACTTTGTGATTCCACGTTGGGGGAACACCCGAACGGCTGGGTGCCGCCACGCCATTACTTGCACGTCGTTAATCGCTTGAGCCCGTCCGTCACAGGTCATAAGTATTCCCTCCGTGTGAGTTTATAAACAGGCGACAAAACCTGTTGACGCCCATGCTTCAGCCAATGGGACCGATCGGCACCAAACCTTCGCCATTTGATGCCGCTTGGTCGAAAATCGAGCCTTCCCGGAGAACAGCGTTCTTCGGTCGGGCCAAAGGTCACCAAAAATGCCCGAAACAACCACGCGCTCCAAGCTTTTGGAACGGATCAGCATTAAACCCCCACCAGTCGATGTGACGTAGTCGATATAATATCCGTCCCAAAACATGACGGCTTTGGGGCAGGTCAAAGACCATCAAAAACGCTGCCCACCACTGCTTCTTCGCAGGCAACCACATGATCTGAGCCTTTGGGACCGATCGACACGAAACCTGTACCAATCGATGTAGCATGGTCGATAACATGGAGTATGCTCCTTTCGAGAACAAATGGCACTGGGCCAGGTAAAGGTCACCAAAAAACACCCGACACCACCGAAATTTTGTTTGCAGCAACACAAGGTTGGTTGTTTGCAGCAACCCAACTCAACCACCAGTCACCAACAGCAACGATGTGTCATGGTCGATAGCCTATCATTTCCTCACTGTGGTGACCTTGAGTTAGGTCACAAACAAACACAAACTTGAGTCACAAAAACGCCCAAACCACATATGAAATAGTGTGCAGAGAACACCATGCTCCGGGCCCATGAGAACGATCAACTCAAAGCCTTTATCGATCGATGGCCCATACTCGATAACGTAACCTTTCCAGAACGTGGTACCTTGAGTTAGGTCAAAGGTTACCAAAAGCGGTGAAGGAAATAAATAAGTCTGCAGACAACCTGATGCGTTGGGCCTATCGTAGCAATAGAACAAAACCTTGCAATCGATGTGCAATAGCCGATTACATTTCCTTATCAGAAAATGGTGATGTTGTGTCGGCACAAAAGGTCACCAAAAATAAAAACACCAAAATGGAAGTACTGGTAACCAATCGGCACCAAAACGTTTACCAACCGGTACGCCATCATGACGTCTGGAGCAAACAGGCGCCATTAAAGCCCACAGACTGTCGGGCTGGCTCGGCTAGGTCCTGTCATGAGAGGAATGCTCAAACTTGGCTTCGAGATTGGGACAAGCTTGAACTCCTTGACTTAAACTGGTGAGAAGTCTGGCGGCGGACTCGTGAGACTCGTGAGGGCCGCCTGCGTGAGAAGGCTCCCGAGAGCCTGGCTCAGTTGCGTGTGAGAGCGCGCACTCGTTAACACCACGGCGTGTGGTATTGTTATCGATACTTCTGCAATCACGCGCTGCGTCTGGCCAGCCGGTGGTGATCGGCTATTGACGCCGCGCGGGCCGAGTGAAGTCGGCGCTGTGCAGCGTTACTCCGACACAGGGTCTCGATGCCGGTGAATTCAACCCAGTTAACTAGGCAGTGTGTGATAGGACCACAGAATTTTCCCGCGTGTGTTAGGTGTGGCCTGCTGGTGCACGCCGAAGGGACTACCGACTAGTTTGAATGTGTACTGCACCGGACATGCTATTAGCATGCATAATGCAGGCCTCAACCACGCTGTTCAACCGTTGGCATTGGTTACCTGAACGGTGCGCAATTTTGGCTGATTCATCGGCCTTCCGCGTTGACGGATGCTTGTCATACTAGTCATTCTTGCCGGACAGTGACAGCGTAGCGGCCGGGCCGCCCACACACCCTTTTGCCCGCGGCGAAGTGTTCTGCGGTGTCGTGGGTGCTGCGGTACAGCTCTGATGAGTGTCGTGCGCGGGGCGGCGTTCTTCCGGCCTGCTGCGCCGGGTCGGCTAGCTGTCGCCGGGCCGACCTCAGCGCGGCGGGTCGGCGCCCCTCCGGCCCTGCTGCGCCCGTCGGCTAGCTGACGCCGGGCCGGCTTCAGTGCGGCGCGGCCAGTTGTGGGTCGGTCGGCGCCCAGAGGGGGATGGAAGGGGGGGGGGGGCAGCGCTCCTGCGGTCGGCTGACATCCCGCCTGCGGTTAGCGCGCGGATTGCGCAGGAAATAGACGGCGCCCGCGAGCAGTGGACCCTGCGTTGATCGAAGCAAAGAATAGCAGTCGTTTGTTCTGATTGTGCCAACAGTGCCAAGCTAATCGTGAAGGCATCGTCTGAAGCGCAGTGCAGCCCTCTCCCTCCCAAGACCTGTCGGCGTAACGCATGGGAGGTGACGACAACTTTACTGGAGGGGGGAGTGGGCGGAATCAAACTCGTCGTGGGCGCATGCAAGGAAAGTGCGCACCTCCAGCGCCGGAATGTTGAGGACGGCAACGTCACAGCCGGCGCGTCGGCGATTGGTTGGAGGGTGTGATGACGTTTGACCTTCGTGCCGTTCCAATTGGTTGGACAAGGTGATTGCTTAGACGGGTCCAGACGGCGTGCTGCGCGGCGGGGGCGGAAGCACAGTGTGGCTGTGCGTGGCGTAGCGGTGGTGGTGAGCAGCGTTAGACCGTTGAGGGCGCGGCTAAGCTCTGCCTGGGGCCGTCTCTGTGTAGGTCCAGGTGACACCGGTCGCGGCTCCCGTTCCCGATAGGCTGACCAGGGGCCGCGTTTAAAGGCCGGCCCGCGCGGCCAGGCCCTCAAATGCCAGGCAGAGGACCCTTTGCGCTGAATGACTCGACTCGTCTCCGGACTCGATGAGGGCACCTATGCCCTCCATACACCATCAGTACCGACCAGTCGGTTCCGTGTCAGTCCAAACCCGAGGTCCATTTTCCAAGGAGGGGCAAGGTTGGAGTCCACGATTTTCGCCGGTCGGGGCCCGTAAGTTAAAAATGCCCCCCCCCCCGCGCGTCGGTCAGGGGCCCGACACTGCTTAACAGAGTCCTGTGTTGACAAAGAGGTCTGACAGTCAAGGGTGGTGTGTTCGAGGAAACCCGAAGACTGACCAGTAATTTTATTTGAAGACTAAAGGATGCGAAGGACCGGCTGTAGGTCACATTAAGTCAGTCAATTGTCGGTCATAGAGCCTGTTGCATCGATTGAGAACCCCTTGGACAATGCGGCCCCTATTTCGGTCATCGGCCACCAACACCGAACAGTCAGTTCCGTGTTAATCTGAGCTCGGGGTATCCATTCCCCAAGCAGGAACAAGGCCGGCAGTCGCTCTTCGCATTGGTCGCGGTCCCTGAAACAATGAAGGGTCCCCAGTGCCCAAGTGTTGGTCAGGGCCCGCAGTGCCTAACAGAGGGCAATGTGCCGGCAGTTGGTTCCGGGTCGGCCAGGGGCCGTGTTTCCGGTAGCGGCGAAGGGCACAGGACCAAGGATCAAAGACCCAACTAAAAAGCTGAAGGGCCGGAAGAGAATATTGTGTGTCGCAGTAAGGGCCTGTGCCCGTGACGCTGTGGGCTTATAAGTCAGTCAGAGTGCCTTTTACGCTGATTGGGGATCCCTTGAACAGCGGGGTCTCTTGACGATTTTAGTCGACGGCCCGTCAAGCCTAACTGTTGTCCGTGCATATTTTTACCATCTACAGCGATAATGGATTCACTAAGGGCCTCCGAATCGACCAGGGGCCCGCCCCTGTGTCCCCGGTATGGCAGCCGGAATGCACCCCGCGCTGGGATAGAATGGCCCCTCAGCCGAAGTCTGTAAAAATGGATTTTTGACGTTCAAAGACAAGATCGTGATGAATATTTCACCTTTATAATTTCGCGTTGCTGTAACCGCTAACCTGTTCAGAGGAACAGATTAACAGTTACAGTATCTCGAAGACATAAAGACTCTACTTTTATTTTTCCAGTTCTACCACTACGTTCCAGCACCAGCTCGCGGTGTTGTAAATGTTTATCCGCTCATCCTACCCATGTAAAAATGGTGCCGATAGAAAATACGTCTCGATTTCTTTCTAAACATGCTATTAAAGTCGTTAAGTGTCCAAAGGCGCTTACCCCAGATGCGTCACCGTTCTATTTTGTCCGTTGGCCGGCGCCTAATGTTAGCTACAGGAGTGACGCTGCGCTGCCTATGAAAAATGCAACGCCTGGTGTCATTTTTGTGAAAAATTATGGCAAAGCCTCTGGGTCTTTTGGGTTTAGCAAGAGTCTATACTGAGTCATTGCAAAATAAGAAGCGCCGGCGGATTCTTCCATGCCACCATTTAGTGCCCACTTCCTTCAGTTTATTGGCTTCAGAACGCAAACGAACTTCCCTCTCTTGGTAGCTCCCAGCTTTCATTTCAGTAAAGACCGGTTTTAGAATAATGAACGAATGAAAAAGCACCCCCTTGAAATCAAAAGAGCCATATCCCGTGATTTATTTATCTTGGGGGGGATCTCGCCATCAGGGCCCTTTGTCAACCCTTTGCTCCCCACCTACCAAGGCTCCGGCAGGGCCCCTGATCGCCGCCCTCGCTCGCTCACTGCAGGGAGCGCCGCTTCGCTGGAAGAGAAAGTCGTTGCGGCTGGTAACTGCTGTGAGGTCTCCCTGCGCGTGCTGACCGCCGACGCCGAACCATGCCGTGGAAGCCGATGTATCGCTCGGACGTGCGCCTAGAAGGCAAGACGGTCGTCATTACGGGCGCCAACACTGGCATCGGCAAGGAGGCGGCGCGCGACCTGTACGGCCGTGGCGCGCGCGTCATCATGGCCGTGCGGACGGTGTCGCGAGGCGAGGCGGCGCGCGAGGAGATAGAGGGGGCGGCCGAGACCGGCGCCGGCCAGCTGGAGGTACGCCAGCTCGACCTCGAGTCGCTGGAGTCGGTGCGCCGCTGCGCCGAGGAGCTGAATGCGGCTGTGGAGAAGATCGACCTGCTGATTCTGAACGCCGGCAAGATGGCCTGCCCGCGCTCCGAGACCAAGGACGGCTTCGAGAGCCAGCTGGGCACCAACCACCTGGGCCACTTCTTGCTGACGCACCTGCTACTTGACAAGGTGAAGGCGGCCGCGCCTTCACGCATCATCGTGCTCAGCTCGCTGTTCCACAAGATGGGCAGCATGCACTTCGACGACCTGCAGCTGAAGAACAACTACGGCCCCTGGAAAGCCTACAATCAGAGCAAGCTGGCCAATGTGCTGTTCGCCAGCGAGCTGGCACGCAGGCTGAAGGACAGCGGTGTCACCACGTACGCCGTGCACCCGGGCTGGGTGCGCACCGAGCTGGCCCGCCACCTCTCCGTCTGGACCAAGGCGGTGCAGGCGCCTGTGCAGTTTCTCGCCAAGTCGCCGTTGCAGGGCGTGCAGACGACGCTGTACTGCGCGCTGGAGCCGACGCTGTCGGCCGAGTCGGGCCAGTACTACGCCGACTGCCGGCGCACGGCGCCCTCCAGTCGGGCGCAGAGCGTGGAGGACGCGCGCCGCCTCTGGGAGGTCAGCGAGCAGCTGGTCGGTCTGAATCGCTGACAGGGGCTGAGCCGGGCGGTGGAGCACGGCAACGGCTGCTCCTCCGCCTCGGGCCCGCTGCCTGAGGTGCAGTGACGGCTGTCCTCGGCTCCTCGTGCGGCCCGCAGTGACGGCGGCGCCGAGAGCGCCGTCCGTGACGTAATTGCTGCTGTGACTGCTGAGATGAGGAGCGCGGCCAGGGCCGTCACTGCTTGAACTTTGGTAGCGGCGGACCGTGGGGCCGGTCCAGAGCCATGCTCTGCTGCAGAGGCCCCCGTGGCTGATGAGCCGCAGCCGTGAACACTGGCTTGGACTGAGTACGTGACTGAGGTGTGCGGGGGAGGGGGTGTCACGTGCTGCCTCTAAAGTGTTGTGCCGCTGACTGCCGTCTGCCGAATGGAGAATGGCTCGTGAGTGACACACGGCTGTCGGCTTGCCGCAGACCGGTATTGGCCGGTGGATGAACTGGCCAAAGGGAATCGATGTCGTCTGTCTGATTTCTACTCAAACATGCTGGGGTAGTCACACCTACTTAACATCGGCGCTTTCTCTATATCTGCTGCAAATGTTGCCTTGTGAAAGTGTCCAGTTTCTGATCATCAGTTCTGAGAATAAATGTGTGATGGACTTACTATCAGAGGTGTCTGCAAATTGTATATCATTATGTCGTGCCCAATTCGGCAGAATTTCCCACATCAAATGTGCTCGCATGTCACATCGATATGCGCGCACGTGGTATGTGCAGCATTGATACAGCCGTTTTGTTGACGAGTTTGTAAATACAAATGGACACCCTCGTTCCCGGTTCTTGGGCCCGGAAGTCTTTGCAACAAAATCGGAGCATCGTTCATTTCTAGGGTTGTTCACCCACACTTTAGCATTGAGGTGTACAGCTTATTGAGATAATAAGCTTCATGTCCTCTGGTCATATAGGCCATCTCTCCACGTGCCGGACATATTTGTGCTGTAACTTCCTCACCGTTAATTTTGCGTCGCACAGCGTGGTTTTGTCATTGGAAACAAACCAGCCAAGCGCAAAATAAACACCGACTCATGATGAGTCGGTGTCTCCACGTCGAGAAACACTTTCGGGAGGTGCCGAATGCCACTTCATTTAAAGTGGCAAACCATCGTCGACAGCCAGCAGCCGACAGACCACCGCATGTGTAGGCGTTTATGAGGCCCTGCTCGTCACGGCCACGTGTTGGTAGGCCGTGACTCAGCAGGATCTGCGCGTGCAAGGTCATCGTGCCTCCGCGGAGTCGCCGACGGCCGAGGTGCAGCTCCAGCAGCCGCTCGTCATCCCTCAGTCTCCTTGCCATGCGGGTGGCGAGGGGTGCTGTGAGGCCACGGTTCCAATGAGGTCTCGAGGTTAGACGGCGATCGAGACGTTCGTGAAGGCATGTACGCATTCATGCGCTAAACGGTGGGCAGTTGTGAATCGTTGGGGATGTGGGATGAGCGAAGGGATATCATCTGGGGGTGACGAGGGGTGTGATCGGGAGTTGAAGAGAAGCATCCGAGGATAATGGCTGTCGTCACATGAAGGCAGTGGAAACAGCATTTAGTGTTAGGGCAAAGGCATTTGATTTGCTTAGTGCTTTGCACTATTAACAAATCAAACAGACGTTAAGTGTCGCAGTTGCACTGCAAGGATAGTGTGTGCGCTGCAGCTGAGATCGAACCGCTTCCACTCTGTGTTTTACCCCACCAGCTGCAGCAACACGCATAGCTAGGAATGATTAACAACGTCTCCAGTGATTATGGTCAGGCTTGGCGGTGTGGCCGTAGCACAATCATCTAGTGATTACTGAGCATGGAGCGTGACCACACCGGTGTCTTCCGAGACTATAGCAGTGACGGAAACACGAACTTGGCATGTTTTGTCGTGAAAGCATGCTTTGAGCGATGTCCAGTCGTGGATTGAATGCCCTGGCGAGTCTTCTCTCAATGAACCGTTTTATGACGCCGATAACTTTCTCGCCAGGTATCACTGGTGGACGACGAGGATCTGATACAGGTTCTGCAGTACACCAAGACTACTGCTCAGGAGGTGCACGAGAAACTGCTTATCGCTGCCGAGATGGAGAAGAAAATCAACAAAGGTGCAGTGGTTTGGCCTGTCTGTAAAGTGGCACGCCGCCACACTGGTCAACATGAAGTGAATAAATATCAGGCTCACTTGTGAGAATGCGCAATGCGACAAAGTCAAGCTTTGTTATGCTGTGGTTTACCCACTGCTTGATGTGTTCTTTGAATCAGTACCTCTTGGTGTACTGAAAGCCTGTTACTTTCAACGCACGAGCTTGAAATTCGTGCAAAGAGAAGCTCAAGTTCGAGATTGAGTTTGAGTCCTGGTGATCCGCATTGCCGTCTCTTGACCACACTGAGTAGAAATAAGAAGACAGGATAAGCTCATTTATACCATAAGTTTTCCTCAGTTTGCTGATCGACCGGACGTCCACGCTGTTTTCCTGTGGCGCCGTTTTATCCTGTGTCCTCGCGTCGCATTGGTCTCAGCAGCAGTCAGCCGCCGCCACCAGTCACGAGACGACCCGGTGGCTGCGCGGACTGGCAGTGTCAACCGAGCGCGCCCGCCAGCCTCGGTGTCACCCCCATGCGCGGAAGAGGCTGACAACGGTGATAACACAGGACAGCCGCGGCTCGGGCCCAACTGTTACCGCCCTCTTCTTAATCCTCTAGTCCTGAAGTGGTTGGTCATGGTCGAAAGATCTCTTACCCAGTCACATCAGCAAGCCATCAGGAGTGGCCGCTGGTCTGACCATCATCTGCTGACGGCGCTGCTCTGCACCGGTCGCAGCACCCGCAGGCCCCCCTGCCCAGCCCCTTGCGCCATGACTGGCTGTGATTGGACCGCGCTGCCAGCCACGTTACGTGCCGTCGCCCGTGTTGCAGCTCGGGACGAGTTTCGCCCGGTGGCCGCTAGGGGCTCGATCCTCTACTTCCTGATCACGGACATGAGCGAGGTGAACGTCATGTACCAGACGTCGCTCAAGCAGTTCCTCGGCCTGTTCGACCAGTCGATGCAGAAGTAAGCGGTACTGCTGCTGGCTGGTTCCGCGACCTCGGTTTGACCTCGGTTTGACCTCGGTGACGGCGGTTTGACTGGGACAAAGACCGGGTCAGGTAGCCGCACCTTCGCCAGCCGCAGAGCGATGTTCGGCCCGGGGCAGCACCTTGTTCCGGTGTGGTCATTCGACTCATTGGGTGTATGGTGCATGCAGATGTTTGTGCATGAATGGATAAGATCGCTCCGTAGTTCCGGTTGGGTGAAGAGCTGTTGGCTGAAACATCCTTCCAATTAAAAAGAAGAGTGAGCTCAGCGTGAACTAACCGGAAAATATCTCGTCCAAACTGTTCAGAAAAGCTTTCGTTTAGGCGATCGTATGTCCCTCCCTATGCTGGCACAGGATGATTCCTACGGAAGATGTCTTTGAGTTCGGCCTCCACAAATCTAGTCTGGCCTGGCT